CTCTCTCTCTCTCTCTCTGTGTTTCTCTGTTTCTCTCTCTCTCTCTCTCTCCCTTCTTCACCTTATACGCCACCAAGTTGTCTACTACTACAAAGTTCCTAAACGAGTTGTGTTGATAATAACATTGTCATGTTTACTTTGACCGGTGTGAGAAAATGTTGCTAAGCGTTACGTAAACTTATTTTAAGAACAGGGTGAGCGAAAGGGAAAAAGATAATTCAGCTTAGAGTGTCCCCTTCACCTGTCCCCGCGAAGCCTCTTCAACCTCTTCCTGATAACTAGTCAACGCCGAATATTCCAGCACTTATGGGCAGAGGGGCAAGTGATGAAAAAGAATGCACCCCCTAATTTTCAAACCTCTCTTCATGCTTTTTCAATCATATTTTTAGGGTGATTCGACATCACGAGACTCCTTTTGAGAGAAAACGGCCAGAAATAATCCCGGGATCGTGGGAAAGGGTAGATTACAGCAAGTACCAGCCCAGTTATCTCCAATTTCTGAAGGGGCGATAATTGCCATTCGTATGATCCAACGGAGTGACTTGCTGTTATCTCGTCTGAGTTCACTTTATAATGCGTAAAGCGCGTCAACCCAGCCCCATACCGTCTCTCAGATTATCACCACAATAATAGATGTTCAAATTAAATACATAGAGGAAAGTAAAGAAAAAAAAAGGACAGTTCGTCGTTATTGTTGTCGTGATCGATGTTATTGTTGGGATAATTGTTTATCTAGTTAGTATTCTTGTTGTCAGTCCTGTCACTGTTACTCCTGTTTATCTTTTAGCTGTTTGTGTTGTTTATCTTCTTATTGTTCTTTGTTGTTTATCTTGTTACTGTTACTCTTCTTTATCTTCCTCCTGTTTATATTTGTTATCTTTGTACTGTCACTGTTTCTTATCTTCATATTGTTCTATGTTGTTTATCTTGTTACTTTTTTCTTGTTTATCTCCCTCCTGTTACTATTGTTTGTTTTGTTACTTTTACTATTATTTAATCTTTATACTAGGTCACTGTGTTTATATTTTTACTGTTATTATTTTTTATCTTAATATCAATATTGTTGTTTATCTTCTCACTATTACTGCTGTTTATCGTGATACTGTTACTCTTGTTTATCTTCCTGGTGTTGCTGTTGTTTATCTTGTTACTTTTACTATAGTTTATATTTATACTGTCATTGTTATTTATCTTAATACTATTACAATTGTTTATCTTTATGCTGTTACTATTGCTTATCTTCTCACTGTTTCTATTATTTATTTTTTTACTGTCACTGTTGTTTTTTTCATTTTAAAACTGTTATTGTTGTTTATTTTCCTGCTGTTACTATATCTTTTATAAATCGTATTCCTCTTCCCTTGTTTACTTTTTAAAGCTACTGTTATTACTCTTCCTATTGTTACTGGGTTGTTTTTTCTTGTTACTGTACTGTTACCTTTATTTACCTTCTTATTGTTAGTTTTGTTTATCCTGTTACTATTACTTTTGCTATTTCTGTTGTCTTTGCCGTTGTCAAAGCTGTATGTAAAGACAAGTAACAATGACCCCCTCCCCCCCCCCCCTCCCTTCCTTCTACAAACTCCCACAGACCAAGCTTCCATTAAAGTTATCGACACTTTAAAAATTGACTTGTCAGTCGAGTAAACAGGTAACTTATCGAGACGATGGAAGTAGGTGATGGAAGTAGGGGAGGGGTTATCTTTTAAGACAGAACAGTTCACCATAGCGAGCTGGAGATGGGCAGGAAAAGAAGTCTGGGAAGGGAGGGGGATGTTTTGTGTGTTTTATGGTCAGTGAGAGGGGTTAAGCAAGAGCACAAGAGACTCATGTTCGAACTTCTACAGGGATGATGTTGGACGTACTTGACCTAATAAGCACATCCGGGCTCTCATATTCTCCGTGGTGACGCATTTGGGTCACTATGAATTTCACGTGCGAAGACACTTTTCACATATTCTAAGAATGATGATTATGATGATGATGATGATGATGATGATGATGATGATGATGATCATCATCATCATCATCATCATCATATTATGATGATGATGATGATGATGATGATGATGATGATGATGATGATGATCATCATCATCATCATCATCATCATCATCATCATCATCATCATCATTATTATCATCAATCTCATCAAATGCCAGATCTACGACAGTCATCGGCGTTCATGGTTCTGCATTCATTCGTTTGCGTTCTGATACTCTATAAGTAGTTGAATTATCCTGATTTTTCCTCCTCTAAGAATAGGGAGTTGCAAATCTCTTTTACTTAAGTTAATGGTCAAGTGCGTTCAAAATCTTACTCATGTATTACTTACATAATTCTATTTCATATTCCAATTTTTGCCATATTTACCCTTGCAGACCTTCTCCTCTTCCGATTTTAAAAAATCGATGCATACTTGGTGTAATAATGATGACAGTGAAACGGTTTAAAACGTTTTATGAGTTAAACATGGTTGAAAACTAAAACTATAACTTCTGATTAAATGTTGTGATTGTCTTTTCCAATATGTGTGACCCCCACCCATAGGCTGAGCTCAGCTCACGGGATAGAAGCTAAGACGTAGGCCCCGATAGTATCAGCACAGGCATGAAGTCAAGTGATGTTAGAGGAATTATCGCGGGACAGATGCCCTGTCCGAACGTATCTGTGATAACAAGGCGACAGAGCACCGCCTCTTTCATGTTGCATTCAAGATCTACCGTGTTGGACTCTTGTCGCTATCCAAATTATTTCAAATAGGAGATTATCATTTATCCTGTTAGGTTATCGTGCCTGTCATTTCGCTTTTAATAACAAGAATATCAATAATCAAAGTCTTACTGCTTTCTTATTCTAGAGAGTCTAAAAAAAAGCTGGTGCAAATTAGTGAGGGGGAAATTGCTTAGACGTACAGAAAAG